GTAAAATATTTTATAGTTTATTATAAATTGTAAAGATTTAATAGAAATTATGTATATGCAATTTCATATCACGAATAATGGAAACGTGAGTCGCCTAAATAACAAAATTGCATATAATTATCGGGCGTATTGTTGAGATATCGAAATTATATGTTTGTGATCTGTATGTATTTCACAATTAGAGATGAAAATTAATTTATAATTAAACCGCGGATTTTATGTATAGGTAGAAAGAATTAAATTGAAATGCTAAATGTCATATTATAAATAAAAATCGTTAATTGATAATTCATCACTATTTCTCTTTCTATTTATGACGAATAGAATGCAGGTTTTTATGGAAAATAAGATGGTCCTGGTACTAGATTAAGAAATGTGTTTTAAATAACAGCTTCTTTTATCATTTAAATATTGTAACATGTATTCTGCTTTTGACATTTTTCGCATTTTTCGCACTCTGATGATGAATATTAAATATGCTAACAAAGAGGGGAGAAATTATGCAGAAATGAATTTAAAGTCAGAGTACGTGAGAATATTTAAAATATATTCGTAATTTTTTTATGGAATTTCCTACAACTATGTATAAGAGTGAACTACGAAAGCGTCATCAGAATGAAGAAAGATAAATTTGTTATAAAATGCACTCTTATTTCAAATGCATAAAATAATTGACGAACTTTAGTGGGGTGCTTCAATGAAATTTATTAATCGTATTGCTTTTATAAGAATATAAACCATTATTTTCATAAATGCTGCAATTCGATTGTTATTAGATTTCGTTATGTAGACTAATTATTCATTCTCTGAAATTCTACATGAATTTTTTAATCTCTTGTTTCCATAATGAAAAATAATTAATCGTATCGTTTAATGGAAACGACAGATTACATAATTCGTTTTACGAAATTCATCTGAAATTTCATATCATGAATAATAGAAACCTGAAACGCCTACATAACAGAATCTGTTAAGTGAAGTGCATTGGCAAGGATGTAAACCATTATCTTCATTTTGCTACAATTCGATTATTGGATTTCGTTATTTAGGCACCACACGTTTTCATTATTTGCGATTTAAAATTGGAGACGAATTTTTTAAAGAGAATTATTTAATCTCTTCTTTCCATGTAGTCGTATGATTATTTTTTTTTTACTTGTTAGTTCATTAATTATCATATGCATTTATAAAACATTCTTTCTTCTTTACTATTTAATCATAATTACACTTATGAATTAAATTAATCCATTAAATAATCGTTTATCAACTGCAAACTCTGTATTAAAAAACCTTTTTTAACGAAATATTATTACACCACGTTGCATTGTCCACAAAGAATGTATGTGCAAAATTTGATATCGATAGCTCACCAAGAAATAGTTTTATTTAGTTTAGAAAAAATTGATGGCAAGGTTTTGGTATAATAACAAACACTTTGAACGAGTTAAATAAAACCAAATATTAATAATTTAAATTGATCTCGTTTCGTGGTTCACTCTGTGCAGCGATTCGCTGTTGGTTTGCTCACGTAATCTTATATCTTAATAGCTAGTCTGCGGATCTATATGCAAAATAAGTATCAGCTTAAAGAATGTATTTTAGATAATGGTCTGTTTGATCATTCAAATATTGACATATCTATTCAGCTTTTGATAACCTAAATTGTTTTATATACTACTACACATCTTTACGTAAAATTATATTCTTTAAACATATTTTAACGAATGCACTACATTCACACAGGATTTGTCTTTATATAATTTCTTAATGTGAGATATATGTTAATAGCTCTATGTGTTTTCATGATTATATAAAAAAGGTGCATTTTATTATATCCAAGTTTTCCATAACTGCATAAAAGTCTGCAGTTCATACGTCACGCGTGGCATTTTTGCATATTCTTCTTTTTTATAACTTGCATAAAATTCGCAATCTGTTAATAGCAGTGACTATAATTTAGTGAAATTGTGTAAATTACTTATTGCTAACAATAAGTCTTATTTTTTTGTATAGAAGAGGGAATTAAAAGGCAAACGGAACAGTGGTCACTTGAAGTCCGATTTGTTCAGTAAAAATCGATGAAGTTTTCTAAATAACGTGATATTATTCTTCCATTTGCAGACTCAATGTTTATGATTAAACGAAGAAAGATTAAAATTCTACTTCCTTATGATTGGATAAAGTTCTCAATCTATTAATAGCAGTATGTTATAGATAAAATTAAATTCCTTATTATTAAATCGTACTCTTTTATATGTTTGAGGAAATTGAAGGGGAAAAAAAGCAATAATTAGTTGATGCCTGATTTGGTGAAGGATCTTCAAATGTGTTTAACTGCTTCGAAATTATAAATGTTTTTGAAGAAGTTTAAGTTTCTGAGTAGGTATTTCTCCGTTTGCAGAATCAACGTTTAAAATGAAAGGCACTTGAATGAAGAAGCCTCAGAGCTATTGAATCTCCGGTATTAAATCTCACGGTCTAGGGCTGGTTTTTAGACAAACAGCTTCTTAGAAACGTCGAGTTTGATTACGAGAACAAGTTGTATTTGCCTCGGAAGTAACAAGAGGCAGCTGGCGTTAGCCAAATTCAATTTGGTATCTGAAATTGATTCAGCCCTGGCCTTACTAAACTCAATTATTCGGCTTTCGTGGATTAATAGATAATAGATGTTCAATTACGAGTTCCTTTTTGCGTCACGGTGGACGTTAAATTTAATCATCCACGATATTCCCTGCCTGTGGAATTTCAATTAAAGACGGTGTACCCTTTGCATTAACTCATTAATACTCGAGAACTGCAGTCCACCCGTGCACCAGCTCGGATATTTAATTCTCCAAATCGAATTCCATTTCATAGTGAATATATATATATATACACACAATAGCCTACGCCTACACGGATGCCTTTGAACAACCAATATTCAATCTGTGAAACACTTGTTCATTTTTACTTCGTCAAACGATAATATCGGGAATTATGCATGCAAACGAATATACTGTTTTACAATTGAATGTGACAATGCGTTAAACCTAAGTTCCGAATGCTACATCCGTTAAACTATATTGGGCGTGGATTTCATTCAAATTGATGAGTTACGAGAAATTGAATCAGAGATAAACTTGAATATCTATGAAATCGAATGATGTTCAACACCAGCTCCTATTTGAAAAATTTGTAAAACTATGTTTCACTAGATATTGTTTCAATACATAATCACATTGAATATTTTCAAGAGAGGCACATTTTGATATTGTCAGCTATTTTTTAGATGAACACGTAGGAGAGATATGAAGGTTGTTAACATTTTTTAAAATTGGATTATGAAGTTTTTCCTGTGCTGATCGATGAAGCTTCATATAGTCTACAAAAAAGTATTAACGTTTTTGTTTGTAGTTGGAGCCTCAGCGTAAATTTTATTTTTCAAGTAGCCCCATAAAAAAAGGTCGACGGATTTTAAATCAATTAATCATGCCAGGAAATGAATGCATTCACCTCATCTTATTCAACGATATGATATGCATATAAATATTCTGCGCTACATGTAATAATAATGACGAAAATTGACGTGGTAATATCTGGTGAACCGTTCTGCATATTAATACGTTCCTGTAATAAATTTTTAGTCATATTCATTGGAATTTTAAACAGAACATGAGCTAGAAATGCGTTAAATCTATTAAACTACATCGCGCGTGCATTTCGTTCAAATCAATGAAGCCCGACAAATTAAATCACAGATAAATTCAAATAACTGGGAAATAAAATAATATTCAATACCAAATACCATTTTAAAAACTTTCTATGTATTTATACGTTCGTATAATAAATTTTTAGTTACATTCACTGAAATTTTAAATAGAATACCGATTATTCGAATAACTATGAAATCAATACTAGAACACCCACTTATTTTCTGTTCAAAAAACTTTAAATGGATAAAAAAAGACCTAATACGTTGCTATGAAAAAATAAGACTAAAGACAGACTACGACAGACCTAAAGACATAATACGTTGCATGAAGAATTGAATCTGAAACAAATTCGAATGACTATGAAATCAAATAATGTTCAACACTAGGACAGTCACTTATTTCCTATTTCAAAAACTTGTAATACACATAATATGTCCCTATAATATTCATTGAAATTCTTAGCAGAATACCAATTGTGTCAGTATTAACTTAAATGAGAAGACTTCTAATGTATTGTTTAAAAAAAGGAACTTCTGTCAATTTGCTCTTAGAATATATTCTTGGCGTCATTTCTCTTCATACCCTATTATCTTATTTCTTCGAAGTAGGCATCTATTATACATATATGTATATTCACTGCCTGCGCACTGACGATACGATTTTGTATGAAATAGTAAGTGGGATTAAATTGATGTCTAAAACAATGAATATTCGGATGACTGTACATACTCGGATTAGACCGGTTACATGCTGTTAGGTCAGTCCAGAAATAATGCAAATCTGCTTTATCGCTCGATAAATAGGAACAATTTATATTTAGGGGAGCTGATCCTTTATAGACCCTTGTGTAACATGTCTTAGAATTATCTCTCGATTGTTTGTCAGATATTTCTTTCGTAATTCTTTAAAATAGATTAACAATCTAGGAAATGAATAAATAACTGATATAATAATAATCAATTATGAATTACATGCTGAGGCTGAGAACGTCGAAGAATTTTTACCGAATATTAATCTATGATTAAACTGTTATCTAAAACAATGAATATTCGGATGATTGTGAATACTCGGCTTAGGCCGATTAAGTGTTATTAGGTCAGTCAGCAAATAGTGCAAATCTCCTTTATCTCCCGAAAATTAGGTACAATTTATACCTAGGCGAGCTAATCCTTTATGGGCCTCTTTGTGTAACGTTATCTGTCGATTATTTTGTTAGATATTTGTAATTCTTCCTTAATTTTTAAGGACACCTAAATTATTTATGAAATGATTGCATGACTAGTATAATAATTATCAATTATGAAAAAGACAACAGAAAACATCAATTATATCATGCTGACAAAGAATAAGAATTTTTAATACACCAAGAGACTAAAGTACTGAGTTGCAGCAATCCATTAGGACATATAAAAGACGAAGCCACTTCATGAAACTCATCATTTACCCAAGAGACTGTTGTGAACATATCTCTCATTTATTTTGTTAGTTATTCGTATTTCTTCCTTAATTCTTTAAGATAGACAAATTATGTATAAATTGATTGAGTGACTAATATCATAATTATCAATTATGTGTTCACGCGGAGACTGAATAAGAGTTATTAATACACCAAAAGACAAAAGCAATGAATAGACTATGGATTTTTATGCAAAACAAACGTTCATGGTGTCAGTTTAAAAAATACATTCTAGACATGTCTTTCATTGTGTAAAGACTGTAAAAGGCACTAATCTTTTAGTATTTTACATATTTTTGAGCAAGGCAAACACTCTTATGATATAAATAAGTTTTTTATAAACGCATACAATCTGCTATCTAGTATAGTGAATGTCCTCATTTCTGTTCACGTTACGATTTCGTTAACTCACTTAAGACTGCATATAAAATTATAAAAAAAAGAGGAAAATAATTAGAAATTGTCATATGAACAGGAATTGAGACATTTACCATAATGAGTTACAGAAATCCAGTAGAACTGAATCAAAGACACCCCCATAAAACTCGTCATTTACCCAATGGTCTTGCCCGAGAGGATCTGTCTACTAAATGAAGGTAGATAATAAAAACGGAGAGGACATAGAGAATGAGCCCTACAAATGTGTTTCACCCACAACCATCTATTAACGTCATTCCCGGTGAAAGTTCAAAGGCGACAGCCCCCGTTTAAAAGCCTACTAATATGTAACGATGTAAGATCGATGAATTAAAGGCAGAAGGGAAAAAAAGGGATAATTGTACCTGTGACAGTGGTCTCGCACGTACGTAATTCGTTGTAACGTGGCTGGGTCGAAGGGAGAAACTACGGTGAGTAGAGACGTTTCTCAACCGGAGTGAACTTCGATAAATCAAGGGGTGAGAGCAGCGAACGAACGAGCGAGCGAGCAAAGAACGAGTCGCATGAATGGAGCTAACAGCAGCAGCAGTAGCAGCACGGTATATATAATAGGACGGAGAGAGGGTGAAACGGAGAGAGAGACGGACAGTCCGGTGAGAGAGGCAGACGGTGACAGTGAAGCGAGTGGAGGGTATCGAAGGAAGGAAGGAGGTCAAGAGTGAAACGAGAAGAGAAACTGGTGAATGAACGAGCCACGGATTCACTAACCTGTGTGCCAGTCCACGCAGTCCGGAAACCGAGGAGCAACTGAGAGAGGTGGTATCACCGAGCCGACTATTCGCCTTCCATTTTCCACCACCCCTGCTGCCGAAAGCACACCCCTTCGTTCGTTTTCCAGCTCCTCTTCTCCCTATTCTCTCTCTTCGGCTTCACCCTCGCTTTCTCTCTCTCATTCGGTTTCGTTTCACCCTCTCGTTTCGCCTTACGTAGAGCTTTTCCTCTGACGAATCGTTCTTGAAAGTTCGTTTCTCGACTCTTTTATCAAGACTTTATGTTGCCACTCTTTGTTATTTCGTTTTTAAGGCTTCCTTTGGAGTTACCAAGACTGTGGTAACTCCGTGCATTGCCATTTCCATTTTTCTTTTAAATATACATATATAAGAAGATACGGTCATTTATTATATTTAATAAGATAAACCTGTCAAACCTAATAAGATAAACCTGTATATTTGTACTATAGTTTCTATGAATATGAAATTGATTATAAAATTCTAATGCATAACTGTGTAACAATGAAATTATTGTACCAACTTTTAATGGGAAGAGAGAACTTTTTAAGTAGCGTTCGTCCCCCAGTGAAACAAGTAAACAGTCGGCGAGGCATTGAGGAGATTGACTCTGCGTTGGTCAGACAAAACAGAAGTTACCATGCACAAAGGAATGAACGAGAATCATTGACATTCCTTCGAAAGGAATTACTAGAATTTCTCTTTAAATGAGCTAAACGATGTTTTAAAGAAAGAACAGTATTTCTCCAAGAATTCGGCAAAATATCTGCGACCTGAAAAATATGCAGAATCGATTTCTGCGAGGGTTTCTTACCCGCATCGCATATGTCAGCGGTGCAACTATTTCTCGTTCGGGGTTCAGAGTACGGGCTACAACGATTTTAAGTCCCAGGGAGAAACTTGTTGCGCAGGCGGACCGGAACTTACCGTAAGAGGTTGGCCATGATCCACCACCACCCTCCTACAGCTCTATACTACGTACTATACATATGTATATCGCAACCCTCGTGTTTGAAACGGAAGAATTGATGACTTTTATGTATACGACAAAGGTTCGATTAAATCGCTACACTTTTTACCCTCTTTTCATGCCGTTCAAACGGTAGCCATCAAGTTGTTGGGACAAAATATCTACAGGGTTTTATGAAATGCTCTCGCTTCGAGATTAGGGACACGTGTGTAACAACAATTGCTGAGGAAAGGACAGCGTGTAGATAAACTGTGTCTCTCTCCTTTTATGGGTTTGTACTTCGACACAGATGGAAGTACACTTTCGACACACAGAAGCTGCCTCCAGTAGAATCGCTGTCACCATTTACTATCGTGTGAAAGCTGTAATAGTTATATTAATTTTTCTAATCTTATGGTTTTGTAAATATCTGTACGCTCTTACATTATAATTTTATTATTCTTTCCCATTTATTTTTGTTCGATTATTCTTTGACAATTTAATTAATGCTAAAATCGAAAGAGCATACATTATATGGTGATTTAAAAATAATTTCAGGGAAGCTCAACAATACTAATTATTAATTGCCATAATCTTTTGATCCTATTACTCCTTATCAATATATATTTTTATCAATTTAATGATACAATCGAAGGAAAATATAATTTAAAACTGATTTTAAGAAAATCCTCAAAGAATTCATTTTTTGTTCGCATCTTATTATCCTTCGTCGACACATCTTTGACATTTCATTTATTGCTAAAATCGAAATATCTCACATCATGATTTAAAAATGATTTCAAGAAAATGTTCTAATAATTCATTTTTTAGAGACATTCTATTTCTAAGTAAGAAACAAAGGTGCGATATTTCTCCGGATCGACGCCGTCTTCTATCTGAACGAGGAACCGTTGTTGTTTCACAGCAAGCGGTCTTATCAGCGCGGAATAATCAACGAAGACAATGGGCACCCTGGTCTACCGCATCGACAGTTTTCGCCGATACAGAGGTAAGCAGCGAACGCTCCTTCAATTAACTCTCAACGCGGTCGGAAAATTAAACTCTGAAATTTTCCAAGAATTTCCGGGTTTAGCGCGGTTCATTAATCTTACGGTAATAACAAACTGGGTTCCCCGTTAAACGGAGTCAAATTACTGGAACGAGTTTCACCGAGACGCGTTTAAGCATAAAGTCCTTCGAACTATCCCCGGGGTTGCTTCGTCATTTTCAAGAATGATGATACTCGCTAATTAGGTCTCCTGTAAAATCTAAATTAAGGACGTTAAGCGTACGCCCACTGGAATTTTTATGGTATCTCCTTAAAATGATAGATGTGAGTAATATATAAATGCTTTATTTCAGTTTTATGCTTCAGAAATGAACTTGGTTTACAATTATAGTTATCCTATCTCCATGTATATTCCTCCAGCCCACACCTTGCTATCATTAATAGATTCTGAACGACGTTATCAGTTAACTATAAGCTCTTGATAGATGAGAGTAATATATATATATACAAAAACTTCACTTTAGCCTTACACCCCAGAAATGGGCTTAGTTTACAACTAGAATTACACTTCAGTTAACTATAAATTCTTGATTGATGAGAGTAATAAGATTATTTGGAACTTGGATAATATATATATTTACATATAAATGCTTTACTTCATTTTGGCCTAGAAATGAACTTGAACAATTACAGTTATCCTATATCACACATTTTAGTATCATTCATAAACTCTGAACTGTGTAATCAGTTAACTATAAATTCTTGACAGATGAGAGTAATAAGATTATTTGGAACATTACTCACAATTAAGGATGTATTGGCTATATAGTCAATCCCAAAAGTTTATGTACCTCAGAAAAACGCATTTCCTATAATTAAAAATAGTGCACTTTTCTTCTAATTTCGATATTTAATGAGTTAAGTATGATTATTTGGCATTTTATTCATGTTGACGAAATCCGACCATTCCAGCGTCGAAACGGCGAACTTTTGGGAAAAAAATTTCGTTTTTCCTCAATAACTCCTAAACCGTTCGACTTACGGGAAAATTGCATAGGACCTTTCTTGTAGAGGACGACGAGATCTACAA